GTGATTCTGAATCAGTAGCTCCGGGGTGGGACTCAGGTGATTCCAATACACTTGGCCTGGTTTTCAAGCTGAGTGAAATACTGTCAAATAATATGAGTATAGGAAAAAGAAAAACAAATGCTCCTAATGTCAAAATATAAATTTAAATCTTTCTTTTCTTCCACGTTTCTGTTTTTTAAGGCTGCACTTTTGCTAGAAATGGCCTTGAAAATAAATGTTAGGACACTGTAACTTCTCAGGGGTAAAACCATCTATTTGATGGATGAATGAATCTGTGTATGTTAATTTAGGAACACATGGCTACTACATAGCAATTAGCATGAAGCTGGTAGATCCCAATGGAGAAAATCAGCAACCAAAACATGTGACTGCAGCCCACTTGTTGTCCCTTCCAATTAGAGGCAGTGGGTCAGACCGTGGAAATGTCCTAGGAGGGGTCTGCCAGGAATATACACCAGTTAACTTTTGGGGGCAAAATAACTGTTAAATGTTGACCTGCTGTGAGGGGCACTTACCTTGCAAGGGTGGGGATCCACCCCATAAGTTTCCAAAGTATGAGCTTTCAGGAGTAAGTTAAATTCAGCAACTGGGGGGCTCTGGCCTCTGAAATCACACAAGAAAAGACAGGGAGTTAATATGGAAAATAACAAACATGGAGTCCCTTCATTCAATAAAATGTGACATCCTAAACTAAATAAAGATAGAAATCCCTACACAAATAGTAATCAGGAAGACTGATCATTATACCACGAGAAGTCCTTTGCCAAGGAACCCGAGCTCCTGTTCCCTGGCTAATTGCTCCATAATAAACTCACAAGTACTCTGAGCACTCCAGTGACCCGTACCGTTAATCAAGGTTCTCAAGTTACCAATAAGTAGGCCATTGGAAATGCAATCTTAATATGAAATAAAACTCAGCGTCTGTTCTTTCCAACTTATTTTAAAAGATATTCTAGGGTAAATGACATTCCTTCTTGCTCAGGGTAGAAAGTGGGCAATCCTGTTACCCCATCCACCAGTCTAAACAGACCCATCCGGGTAGAAAGAACTATCAACCATTCCATTGGAAAGCCCTGGATTTTGAAAGGAAATCTCAGCCACTAGTCCTAGCACTAACCTTCAGGGTAGTAAACAAGGTCCTGGCTTTGGGGGGGTGGGGAGGGCCTACAAATATAGATGGCTGTGAAAAGCCCTTTGGGGGCAAACTTCCAAACCAGGACTGTGCAGTAAGTATTTCAAAGACTGCTTTGACTAACATTAATATCCCACATGTAACTTAGAGGATCTGAACCATTCCCCAAGGATAAATGCATAGCCCTAAGAACCAAGAAGAGTTTGCAAAGGAAAACAACAGGAACTCATTTTTATTTTCAAAACATAAAATTATATTGCCATATTAGATCTATTTCCATCTGAGCTTCTCCCCACAGATAACTTGCTCCACGATCCCCTCAAGACAGCTAAGAGTCGTCATCATGCCTCTAAAGCAAAAAGTAGCCCATCTACCTTCTCCCTAAAGCCTTTTGGGATCTTCTTGTTACCCTGAGTGCACTGAAATTTCACTCTGATGTGTGTAAGAGCATCTTTATTTTTCATGATCAGCACTGAGGGGACACTTAATCCAACAACTAATATCTTTCATTGGCAGTTGCTTTGATTCTTTTCTTCTCTTCCCAACTCCCTTCCTTACTCCAACCACTCTCTCTCTCTTCTGTCCTTTGAGAGGCCCTCCTAGTAAATGGATTTTGAAACTCCTAGGTCCAAACTCCATGTCTTCTAACCTTTGTTTCATTCTTTAAATCTCTGTCTTTTTGCACTACATTTTGATTCTTTTTTTTTTTTTAAAGCTTGTAGCAGAGGATAGTTTTATTAGAGCAGAAAGTTACAGCTCTCAAAATGAGAGAGGGTCCCAACCGGGTTGCCTTTGAACTATTTCTTAAGTCAAATTTCTAGCTTGCTAATTTATTCTTCAGCTGTGTACATCCTACTTTTCACCCCATTCATGAGTTTCCTTAACATCAATTAAATATTTCATTTTCAATATAATATCTATAGGCATACCTCGATTTATTGTACTTCACTTTACTGCACTTCACAGATATTGTATTATTTATTTATTTATTTATTTACAAATTGAAGGTTTTGGCAACACTACATCAAGCCAGTCTATTGGGGCCATATTTCCAACAGCATTTGCTCACTTCGTGTCTTTGTCACATCTTGCTAATTCTCACAATATTTCAAACTTTTTCATGATTATCATACTTTTATGGTGAACTGTGATCAGTGATCTTTGATGTATCTATTGTAATTGTTTGAGACGCCATGAACCACACCAATTTAAGAAGGCAAACTTAATAAATATTGTGTGTGTTCTGACTGCTCCACCAACTGGCCATTCCCCCATCTCTCTCTCTCTCTTTGGGCCTCTCTATTCTCTGAGACACAACAATATTGAAATTAACCCAATTAATAACCCTACAATGGCCTCTAAGTGTTCAAGTGAAAGAATCAATCAATGCAGCAAACCTCATTGTTATCTTAAGAAATTACCACAGCCACCCTAACCTTCAGCAACTATGACCCTGATCAGTCAACAGTATTCAACTAACTCTTCACCAGCCAAAAGATTATGGTTCACTGACAGCTCAGATGACAGTAAGAATGTGTTAGCTATAAAGTATTTTTCATTAAGGTATGTACATTTTTTTTAGATATAATGTCATTGCACACTTAATGGACTACAGTATACTGTAAACATAAGTTTAATACGCACTCGGAACCCAAAAATCCATGTGACTCATTTTATTGCAATATTCACTGTATCACAGTGGTCTGGAACCCAACCTGCAATATCTCCAAGGTGTGCCTGTACTTGGCTCTTGAAATAGCTGCCTGTTCTTATTTCATGGAATAAATTCTTCTTATTTCTCTGAAGATATCCACTTTGTTCCTTTTAAAGTCCAGTTTTGTTTGCTCCATTATTGCTGCTTTCTTGGTGATGGTCCTTTGGTTTGCTAAGTCAGTTTTTCATTCAATGATTTGATGTTTCCTTAAGTGTCCAGTGATTCTTGGTTGGATGCTCTCTTCTTTGTATCTGATGTTATTTGTTTAATGCAGCAGCATCCAGAGGTTGTAGGGAAGGATCGGACGTGCCATGTGGGAACAGAGTGTGTCAGTAACGTGATTTCAGGCTGAAAGCTCTAGTTCCTCTGGGTCTTGCCCCCACACAAGGTACCTCCAGCTCAAGCCTGGAGCCAGAGGGAGGGATCAAAGCTGTCCAGCTGCTCCAAATGCAGTGGCCCACTCACCATGATGGCCAACCTGGGTGTTTGTTGTCTGAAGCAGCCAGAACCTCTCCTATCCTCTGTGTGTTTGCGCTGGATTCCCTCTGCTTCCTGTCTCCCAGAGATACTTCAAGGCTTCTGATCCAAAGATGATATTCTTTCTCATATTCATTTCCTAATACTTTTTCTATTATCCATAGGGACCTGGAGAAAGACGGGAAGGTAGCCATATATGCTACCTTTTCCTTTTAATGCAGGAGAGAGCATTTTTAAATCCATCCTTTACAGAATACATTCCTGAGGGATTAAGTCAAACCCCTGCTTTAGGAAAATAAAGTCTTTCTAAAGCCTTTCAAGATTTCCTCTTCAGTCTTAGCATTCTGAAATTTCACTGATATACAAAGGGGCTTCTTTATTTTTTCACCCTAATCAGCACTGTATGGGCCCTTTCAAGCCAACAACTATTTTTCTTTGACCATTTCTTTTGATTCTTTTTTTTTTCTAAGTCACAGTCATAATAATTATTTCTCTTCTTGATAAAGTAAAAATAGATTCAAGAAAATCAGCAGCTATATTGACGGGATAGAGCAAAGGATTTCTTTTAAGTTTTCTCCATATATACAGGTGTTTCTCTTGCCATAGCTCTCTTATAAATTCTTAAAGGAAAATCTTACCTTTCACCAGAAAATAATTATTAAATCTAAATAGCGGGTCTTTCTCGCCCTCTTTCCCCAAACACACACAATCTCTCCCTCTGTCTCACTCACGTGTACACTCATCTCACCCCCGACCAGGGACAAAGCGTGAAGCTGAGTGACCCAGCATGTTACTAAACAGGACCCCCACTCTGGTGACCCTCAATGCAAAACTTCAGCCTACTGACCCACACTGAGGCCAAAATAAACCAGGACCAGAGCCTAAGCAGCCCAGTGCCTCTCACAGCCACAGGCCATTAGGTCTGCCCCGGGATAATCCTCCCAGGTGACACGGAAGGCCCTCACACTGCCCACACTAACAAGAGATCCTTTGCTTTAGAGAGCTGGCCCTTCTTCTTAGTGGTCAAACTGTCAGCACCTTTTTATAAGCCACACATCACTTACTCTTCAAAGTAAAGTTTGGTTGAAGCACACCCTTCTTTTCTAGTCAGTCCAGGGAACCAGGCAATTGGTAAAAGTTATAACTTGGGACTTCCTGTTGGAAGGTGTGTAAGTTTTGCTTGCCTTAGTGGTCTCTTTCTGACCACTTCTCTGTCCTTCATAAATCTGATGGGCATCTAATTTCTGATCGCAAACACTCAACCCCAGATGGCAGCAGGCACAGCTCCAGAAGACATGCCATTAAGACTCCTGTTCATCAGGAGATATCATCCAGGGTGTGAAAAAGCAAGCCCCGTATGGGAAAAGATTGTGGCAGCATGTACAACTATAAAAAGGACTCCTGTGTAGAATTGTTTTAATCCTATAAACCAATAAACAACAGTAAAAATTTTAAAAAAACAACCCAGAAGAAAACCGGCAGAAGACTTAAATAGACACTTAAATAAGATATCCAAATAGCTAACAATCACATGAAAATGTGCTTAACCTCTTTATGACCAGGAAAATGCAAATTAAAACTGTGAGAAGTCATTTACACATCCATCTGACAGCTGAAATTTTAAACACAATACTAAACACTCATGAAGATGTGCTGCAAAAGCAACTCTCATACCTGGCTAGTGGAAAAGCAATTTGGTAGAACTATCTGGAAAACTGGCACTACCTATTAAAGTTGAACATGTTTACCCTATAATACAACAATTCTATTCCCAGTTATACATGCAACAGAAACTAGTTCATGTTGCACCAAGAAACAGAATTTTCATAGCAGTGCCATTTGTAACAGCAATAAATAGGAAAACAACTTCAAATGTCTACCAATAGTTGAATGGATCTAAAATGGAATACTACAAGATTTGTTGGGGTGATGGGAGGGGGTTTGGGGGGCTGGGTGAAAAAGTGAAGGGATTAAGAAGCACAAATTGATAGTTACAAATAATCATGGGAATGTAAAGTATAGCATAAGGAATATAGTCAATGATATAATAACTATGTAGTGCTAGATGGTACTAGACTAGTTGGGAGGGGGTCACTTCTTAAATTATATACATGTCTAACCACTATGCTGCACACCTGAAATTAATATAAAATAATATTGAATATCAACTGTAATTGAAATAAAATTAAAAATAAATACAATAAAATGGAATACTTATACAGCCATGAAAATAAATGAACTAAAGCTACACACAACAAGATGGGTGACTACCATAAAAAT